TTGTGGAACGCTTTACCTTTGTCTATTCAACAAGCGAAATCATTGAATATATTCAAAAATATGGTAAAAGAACACTACCTTAATTTAGTGTGACCTGGACTGCTTAGGTATTTTTATGTTTTGAAATTACGTTTTAGAAATTTTTATATTTATAAGTATAAGAATATATAGTAGTTTACGATATTCATATATATGTATTGGTTTTATTATTTATTTATAAATATATGTATATTTGCATTTATTTATCAATTTTTATCTGTTGATTAGTAATTCTTCATACACCACCGTCTTTTTCCTGTGAATTATATCATTACTTCCATCCAAAGGTTGTCTGGCAGAAATCGCTTAAAGCGATAAGACCGCCCATTGTACCACCGCTTATTTTTAATTTAATTGTATTGTATTTGTTTCCTTTTTTGGTGTACAATAAAGAATTTTTGTATTGTATTGTATTGTATATTTTTCTGAGTGTTCCATCTTTGTATTCATAATCAAAACTTTTAATTAGTAAGAATAACTCCAATATGTTGTTTTTGAAAGAAGCGCAGGTGCAAGACGTTTTTAACGACTTAGCAGTCAAAATTAAAACGTCAGTAAAAAATTTTAGCAACTTCTGCGTCTATGTTGAAAATTTTGTCATCGAATCTTAATTGAAAATCTAAATTACGAATTTTGCCTTTTCCAGATTCACTGTTTATAATATGCCAAGTCGTCTTTACTACATTCGCGCTGTTTTTAATTTTATTATTTATAAACATTGCTTTACCTGCAACATAAACTAAACATTTTGGAACACTTTCTAATAAAATCATTAAAACTGTCTCTAATGTTACATATAGGCATAGACATAGAAAAAAATCTATGGTTATAAGTTCTTTCATTGTAAAGTTCTCTTTTATTGCTTATAATTTAAGTCTTAGAATGTTTTTACTCTACATTGAACTCTCTTTTATTATAATTATTGATTCTTTTTCAAACGTCCTTCACTGACGTTATTATATAAGTTGACAGTCAGTTTTTTTCTCATAATTTCAATATCGAAACAGCATTGTTTAGATTATATTCAATTAAATCAAAGCGATTACTTTTCATTTCTATTGTACCTATAAAAGTAATTATAAGATTTATTTATAAGATGCATCATTTACTTCCTTATGTAATCGTGTAGTAAAACGTAATACGCGTGACAGAGGTAAACTAAAGATATTCAAAACAGGTGTAAATTTGCTAACTTGACGCCTGGTGTACAACAAACGAAGGAAGGTTTCTCCCATAGACGACGCATAGCGGAAGTTCCATACGCTCGATCCAAGCAGGTTTCGGCTCTGGGTGCGAAAGCTAGTGGGAATACGAACTAGATGTGTAAAAGGTATGCCTACCGCTTAATCTAGTCGGTTCCCGAGGTAGCTGCGCGGTGCGGGAGGAGTGACAATTTACGTAACAGTTATTGCGCGCTGCACACGGGATAATTTCAACAAGATTTTGCTGACGATATCCAATAACAAAATTATTGAAAAAACTACCAAATGGCGCTTGTCTATTTGTTTCAGTTATCAAACAAAAAATTTGTATTGAATTGATATTCAATTATTTGTTGTGAAATTACTCCACCTTGCCAGACGCTATGCCAACTAAGCTACGGAACGAATCAGTGGACCTCACGAATTCTCCCATGTGCTTGTTGTTGGATCTTTGTATTTGGTTTTCAACGACAGGCGCGGTTTACTAGAAGACGTCGGTTCAAATCCGGCCGGATAGAAGGAATTTTCTCTAAGTGTTCGATCTTTGTATTAATAACTGTATTAATCAAATAGTTAATTTTTATTATCATTTTTTATAACATCAATTGACTAATTTATTGTTATGGAAAATCTTAACGCCGCGATTTAGAAATTAATAAAAATGCATCAATACCATCTAACCGTGTGTTACAATGACTAATTCAAAAACTGAGTTAGACTCATTTCAAAAATGCGTGTTCTACTACATACTTTAGATAAACATGACCATGTTATGACATGACCATGGGGATCCCATGATCCCCTCATCAGATTCTGATTTCTTGGTGACAATGCGACTGTTACGGACTCCATTGTACATTTTATACTTATTTTTCTGGTTATCATGGTGACGGTGATTTGGTGCTTCTGTGATTGTGACATGTAATGTGTCAAATGAAAAATCGACTTTTTTTGTGGAAAATGACTTTTAATTTGTGATAGCCGAAACGAACCCGGAACAGCATCGTCGGCACAAGGGACCACCTCGACAGTACATCCTTTCAAACAAAAGAAGTATTTCCAAAATTTGTCCACAATTGATGGAGAAATCGGTATGTACACTGACATGCCTCTAAAATTTGAGGATTTTCCTCGATTTTCATGCATCCACCACGATAGTGCATACATTCAAACAAAAAAAGAATTTTAAAATCGGTCTACAATTGACGGAGAAATTGGAAAACATATAAACAGGCGAACGTATAACCTCTTCCTTTTTGAAATCGGTTAAAAAAGGCACAAGTGTTCTACTACTTTCTGCAAAAAAATTGTTAATCCAATTTCAACCCAATTAATAAAAACCAATATCTAGAACTAATTACAGCTCTTTATTCATAGTAACATATATTTACAATATAATTGTCTGGGTAGCTTTTATAATATCGTCATGACGTAACAATAGTTCCAATTACACACCAACATCATTAATCATCATCTCACGAAAAGTTACCTACAGTCAAGTTAATCAATGCGTTTCTTGCTTATTAAAAATAACAAAGAGGCTGTTTAAAGGAATTTGTATTTAAACGACGAATCGATAATACAGAATTTATTTCCCGTTTACGTTTCGTATGGTATTATTGGTGTAAAAACAATATTTTCGAGTACTAACAGCTAAACAGTCAGGTGTAAATTTGTTTACCATCTATCAGGGACCGACAAAGTGAAAAATGCAAGCAGAAAAAAAAATCTGCAATTTCAACTTGAATAAGAATATAGAAACCAAAAACTATGACGACAAAAATGACTTTCCAAAGTCATTGTTAAAATCTGTACATAACATCATTACAAAAGAAGAATATGCAAGCTACAATATGAAAACACAATTAATTAGTACTGTCGGAGGCAACTATCTATCAATACTTTACGAAGTTGACATACAAGGACGTGCAGCTAAAGAAGAAAAAGAAACCAACATATTCATTAAATACATGATACCAAGTGTACAGAGCATTTTCTCAGTGTCTGATGTTTATTTAAAGGAAAGATTTGCATACAGTGATATGTTTAAGATATTCGCAGACATACAAGAGACAGTCAACGTGCCTGATACAGAACGATTCAAAATTGTAAAGTGTTATCCATCAGGTCCTGAAGCTATTATGCTGGACAACCTTGCCAAAAAGGGTTTCACAACACCATATAGAATGGATGGTATCTCACTTCAATTTGCTGAGCTAGCTATAAAAGAACTTGCTAAATTCCATGGTCTTTCCTTCGTTCTCCAGAAACTGAAACCTAATTATTACAAGCAAAAACTGATGGTGCTGGATCAGCCCTTTAAGTTTCGTGAAGATTGGAATACGTTCTATACAAATATGTTTAATCATACGTCCTCTAATTTAAGTGAAGCTCGCAAAAAGAAACTGGAACTTTTGTTGCCAGAATTCATAAAAAAGATGCCAAAATACCTAACAGATAAGGAGCCTGTTTACGGCGTTGTTTGTCATGGAGATTATCGGCCGAATAATATGCTGATGAAGGAGTCTGTAAGTTTTAATTATGTTATTTTAAAAATACGTATACAGCTTAGATTAATAATAATAATAAGCCTTTATACCAAACAAATATTTCAAGAACAAAATTCCATTTTAAATTTTTATTGAATTGATATTCAATTATTTTTTGTGAAATTACTCCACTAGTTTGTTAGAATTGTAAAAACAAAGATCGAACTCTCAGAAAAAATTCCTTCGATCCGGCCGGATTCGAACCGACGTTTTCTAGCATACCGTGTCAGACGCTATACCAACTAAGCCACGGAACGAACAAGCGGATAAATCCATTTTTCGTCACCTGTTACTATGTCCCACACCAAATTTGACGCCCCTTCGTTGAATCTGGTAAGCATGGCATTGCACCAAGTGACGCGATCGGTTTTTTGAGCTTCAGTCAAGTTGCGTGGGATCCATCGAGAGCACAGTATTTTCACACCCAAATGTTTGTGTAGTATTGATTGTATTTGACTCATGCCTATGCCTAAAGGCCGAATCTCATGGTATGTCACATGCCTGTCCGTTTTGATCATACGGCGCACAGCATCGATGTTTTTGTTGTCCACAGCAGTGGACGGGCGACCATCACCGAAATTCGTCACTAAGATTCACACGACCGCGTTTGAATTCTTGCAAACCAGCTATAAAATGTCGTCTTGCATGGAGCTTCATCGCCAAAAGCAGTTTGAAGCCGAGCAAATCTCCGCTGAGCTGTTTAATTACACTTAAAGTCGTAGAAAAACATACTACGAAAATTTTCACGAGATAAATTCATGGTGATGTAGACAACCAATTTCTAAAATGACGCCACAATTTAAAAATAAGTGACAGTCAGGTGAAACAAACTGTATTCCACAGCCAAAGAGTTCCATTTTCAAATGTTGTTTTTAAATATTGTTTCTAAATTACTTTTTAAAAATTGTTTGTGTAAGTGGCCAGTTCCGGAAACTTATGGTGCGCCCTATGTACAACGTACTTCGTCCTTTTCTTTTGATTTGATCAACGTTATTCTCGATCGTCTTCGTCCAGGCTTGACTTTCACTTTTACTTCGATCAGATTCTTAATGCACCTTAATGCACTTAATCACCTTTTTTTTCTTTACAGTTTTCTTTAAGTACTAATAGTTGTTTGGTATACACTTTACCAACCCGTATTATGCGTTACAAATTTATATAGAAACCTGATCACAGAAGAATTTTAATATAACTAATTTCATTGTTCCAGAACGGCGTGGTGACAGAAGTAATACCAGTTGACTACCAAACTATCTACTACGGATGCCCAATCAACGATTTCATATTTTTCATCATAACTGGTACAGACAAGAAACTACGCAAGGACCACTTGAATGACCTGAAAAATTTGTACTACCACTGTTTGGACAAGTTTGTTTCGTACTTTGATTTGGATATTAAAGCATTATACCCAAGAGAGGAATTTGAGAGACAGTATCTGGAAAGGTTAGACTACGGGTTGATGGTAAGCATTTACCTTTTGCCGTTCATTTTCGCGTCTGAAGATACTGTTCCTGATATGGGCAAAGAAAATATAACTAATTTGGAGATTAAATTAGACAAACGATCTAAAGAAAGGATTGAAGGTATTTTGGATGATTATGAAGAGTGGGGTATTTTATAATATAGTTTAAAAAAATACCGATAAAGACAATTAAATTTTTTACACATATTCAATTTATATAATTTATAATAATTGAAGAGCCCAGAAAAATATAATGCATACAAACATACAGAGGTATATTGTCTAATGCTCCAACATATCAGAATAATGAGGCTTAACTTATTGTAATTAGACAACATCACGTACGTTGCTTTGATCCCAAAGTAAGTAAGTAGAGCACTTGTGTTATAAAAATCGCAAACAACCATACCCGAGGCAATATAGAAAACTTTTTCTATACTGACCCGGCCGGGACCTCAGAGATGGCGTGCATGAAATCCGGTGTGCAAGCCACTCGACCACGGAGGTCGCCAATAATAATAAGTAGAAAACTAAACTACATACAACAATTGTTTTATTACTATAACTAAGTATATGTTTTTTTTTATAAGTATCAATTAAGATCAAACAGATCGGTCAATAATCGCAGTGATAGCCTACCAATATAAGACCAATATTAATAATTATTTTAAAATTAAGCCCAACATAATGGCAGGTGGAATGTTTATTCCCTGCAGAAGCGCAGCAATGTTACTTTACAGTTCTACACATTTTTTTTTTACTTTTCGTTACTTGGTTTTCTGTTTTCCACAGTCACATATTTACTCGTGCAAAATAAAATTTTTCCCCGTAGACTTACATAGCTAACTGCTTCCGTGGCCGAACGATTACCATACCGGACTGCCACGCAGAGATCCAAGGTTCGATTCCCGAGCCGGGAAAAATATTTCTATGGCCTACATTTATTTCTCTTATGAGTTTGGGTGTAATTTGTGATTGTTTGTGTGTATTCATGGCACCCGCGTACAGGATCTCCCTAGTGCGAAACTATGAGTGTGTACGTTATAAAAAACTTTGTTGTTGGTTTTTAACGATTTTTTCACCATTTGTGCGAATTCATTCCGAAATGCACTCCGCTTGTATATAGAATAGTAGTATACGGTGACTTTATTGACTTTTTTCCTTTACTTTATTGAGTTTAACTAAGTTTTGTTAATGGTTAAAAAATTTTAAAAGATTAAAAATGTCTTGCATGTCAACTGAAACGGCCGAGTAATTGTTTCGTAGAATGTGTTCTTTCGTGTGTACTTGAAATATCATTTCTGACAAAATATATTTATTTATACATATGTCAAAGAGAACAGGCGCTAGTCGCCTTTTTCATCAAAACAAGGGAAATATACTAATGTAGGTAGAGTTTTTGTGGTAGAACCTTCTTTACCTGCAAAGAGGCAGGATCCTTTGTGTCGCGCAAGACAATCTTGTTATTGTATAACTTCGATTTATAAAAATATTGTAATAAATTATTACTTGTGATTTAAAAAAAAATCATTATTAATGGGTATATCTATTTTAGACTCTCGCCTCTAACATAACCTAAAATATGAATCAACGGCTCAGTAAAAAAAAATTATAATCATTGACGTTAGAGATGTCATTTCAAAATATGGACAATGTACATTTCATTTATAATGAATTATTTAACTGCTTTTTAAATACAATACAGTTTTGAGGAAAGCAGTAAGATTGAAGGAAATCTTCTTTTTCTCATCGTTCATTCATCTTCAGTAATTTATTGCATATTTTGGGCGCCATTTTGAGTTTCTCTAACTGAAACTTCTGCATCGAGTTCTTAGATTTTCGCGATTGTTAAATATAGGAAACAAAACTATTTTTCGGGATATAAATCAGTCAACCGTGACTATGGGATGTGTAAAGGGCCCGAAACGGTGGTTTGTTTGAAAAAACAAATATACGCGATTTAAATCCGGAAAAATAATTTCAATTCCTAGGAAACTTCTGTATTATTAGTAATTAACCTAAGAATAATTTGTTTATTTTATTTGATAAATGCGATGACGAGTGCTGTAATATTTATTATTGCAATAATGGTTCTTTATATTATTTTGTTTTAAATAAATGTTTTTAAAATGAACTCAATCTACTTGAATTGTGCGTACTCTTTGGTTTTGTAACCTGGACCATCCCTCATTGTGACTTTTTGTAAAAATTGGTTTTGATAACACTGGGCACAGTTTCGTCTTAATTTTGCATTGGGCAACACTACTAGAGCGTTTATTGCATCTGTGTAAGTTCCTAAAAAATTAGCTCACATTAGAAGTAGTGACAGACTAATGGATTGACACACTGCCTCGGAAGCAGTGGCCTAAACCCTCGCTTGACAGGAGACCCGTGCCCAGCAGTGGGACGTATAAATGGGTTGATGATGATAGCTCACGTTGCTTCAAAGGCAACATGTGTTGCGAGCACCAGAAGTTCGATTTTATGTATTCAATTATATTTTTGTGAAATTACTCCACTAGTTTGTTATAATTTCTATATTTATAATTTTTTTAAAGTCGCCAAGCCAACTAAGCCACGGAATGAACCAGCGGGCCTCACGAATTCTTCCATGTGTCGGATCTTTGTATTTGGTTTCCAACGGCTGGCACGGTTCGCTAAAAGCCGTCGTCGGTTCGAATCCGGCCAGATAGAAGGAATTTTTTCTAAGTGTTCGATTAACTATACCAATGAAATAATTTATTTTTATTATCCTTTGTACATTTTACACTTATTTTTCTGGTCGTCATGGTGACAGTGATTTGTTGATTGCGTGATTATGACATGTAATAATTTTTTTTTATTTGTGATAGCCGTATCGAACCCGGAACAGCATCCTCGGCATCAGGGAGAGAGCGATTCAAAACTATAAAATATTAGCCATCAGGTCCTGAAGCTATTATGCTGGACAATCTTACCAAAAAGGGTTTCACAACAACATATAGAATGGATGTTATCTCACTTCGATTTGCTGAGGTAGCGCTTAGAATAATAACGCATAGAAACCTAGTCCGCACACTCTAAGTGAGGCAAATTGAAGCGCGCCAAAAGGGCCTACACGAGCGGGCGGGCCTTCAGTGCTCAAGGTCAACTTGCACCGCGAACAGATCAAGAATTTTAGCTAAAAATGACGAAATGTGCTGTAAATGAGTGTAAAAATACGTCAGATAAACATAAAATAGATACTAACATCACATTCCACTAGGAAGTAACGCATTTCAACTTGTATTTTTATATAAATATTTACTAAAACCGAAAATTAACCTACTACTAAAACTAGCCTACATGAATTTGATTTTTGCCTCACTTGAGACAGTTCGTTTGATATGAAACTATCATTCTATGCGTTATTATTCTAAGAGGTAGCTATAAAAGAACTTGCTAAATTCCATGGTCTTTCCTTCGTTCTCCAGGAACTGAAACCTGATTATTACAAGGAAAAGCTAATGGTGTTGGATCAGTCCATCATATTTTGTTAAGATTGGAGTACATTCTATACAAACGTGTTTAATTATATGTTCTCTAGTTTAAGTGAAGTTCGCAAAAACAATCTGGAGCTTTTGTTGCCAGATTTCACAAAAAAGTTTCCAAAATACCTAACGGATAAGGAGCCTATTGGTAGCGTTGTTTGCCACGGAGATTTTCGGCCAAATAATACACAGATGAAGGAGTCTGTAAGTTTTATTTTTATATTATTTTAAATATATGTTTATCTTAGAACAATTTTAAGATAACTTCGATTAATAATAATGAATGAATAAATGTGCTGTATTATGGCACCAATTTACTAATGAGAATTCAACCGGAAGACTCATCGTTTAGCGTCCAGAGTACTAACCTAACCGCTAGACTAGTGGTCAGATTCGTTTAGATTGTATTTCAATTTGGAAAGAAAGTCAAGAAAATAGAGTGTTAGTTTAGAATCTTCCAATGGTCACCATCTTTGTCCGATTTTGTTACAATACAAATATATAATTTCATGTTGTATTAGCATAATTTTGTGGCGGATCAATGAAATGTCGAACTGTAATTAAACTCTGTGGCTAGCAGTGCCGTACCGCAAATCCAGTAGTAATTTAGCAAAACTTACATGGAAATAATAAACAGGTAAGCAATTTACACTTTCAAAATGTTAAAAAACAAGTAACCGGCTACATCATTTTCGATACCTTTCCTAAATGTAGATACGTGTTAAAACAAGGATTGTTTTTCCCTTACGAACATGTAAGTAACAATATTTGAATACTAAAAAACTTCAGGGATAAATAAACTTATTCTCAGATCTTAAGAGCTTAGGCTGTTGTTACTGTTGTTATATTTTCATCAAAAACTTGTTGTTTACCTCCCTATACGACGTGATGCCCATTTTTCTTTATATAATAAAAATAGTGTAAAAGTGCTTGGTCTTTCTCGCCCACGCTTGCCACTTTACAAATAAATTTCTTTTATCCTTTTTTTTAGATTCCAGAGCTATGGTCTTGTCAGTGTAGTAAATTACGTTTTGTTTTCTATAATGCTTTTATTTAACCTCGTTATACGACGTACGTAGTACTTTTATTTTGGCTTGGTTAAAGTAAGCGTTATTCGATTGTCCTTGTCCAGACTTGTCTTCCACTCTTCCTCATGGAATCATCATGATTCAGATTCAGATTCATTTATTTCTCAAATATAACATTACAGTATAAATTGCACTACATGTCAAAGTATAAGAAATTATATTGAGATCGTCAGACAAAAAGGAAAATTATAAGAAAAGCAGACAATAATTATAAAATTAACAATTCATTATATAATATTGTTGTCATTAAATTATATATCAAATATCATTCTCCATCAAGGATCGTCGTAAGTTGATAACAATTATACAAAAGTATGTTAATGCGGTAAAAATTAGAATAAAAATGTCGTTTAAGTTGGCTTATCATACTTTCTCCGCAGTTTTCTTTTGCTACTTGTATTTTCTACATCTTTCTGCTTTCTCGTGATCCTCCTTTTCGCCTCACATCACACTTTGAAAAACTCCAAATATTAACACTCAGAAAAAATTCCTTCGATCCGGCCGGATTCGAACCCAACGTCTTCTAACAAAACCGTGCCAGACGCTGTGCC